TAAAAAAAAAAAAAGTGGATTCCAGTGTAACTAGGACTGCCATCTCATCTACCACATTGGAAGAAAAAGTCACTGCACAGACATCTTTCTTTAAGCTCCATTCACCCAACATTGATGGAGTGCTTCTCTGCCTGTTTTGTCGTCTCATTTGCTACTCACAAAGACCCTCATTGCCAGTATTGTATTCCCTTTTTAGAGGTGAGACTAAGGAACTTGCTCAAGATTATCAAGAGGGCAAAGGAGTGAGCTGGGCTGCTGACTCTAAGCCTAGTGTTGTTTCTACAGCTCCATCTGACCTCCTTTATTGTACAACAATAATACGACAGAAAGTGTCTTCTATTAAACATAATTCCAAAGACAAAAACACCCCACAAAACCTTTTATCTTCCAGTTTTCCTCCTGGACCATCCCCTTATGCACATACACCATGTAAGGTTAGAGATAGTTTTGTAATTTGCTACTGCTACTTACCAAAAGTACTTTTGGTATGACCAAATATCGACAATAATTTTATTTATTGCATATTATATCCAAATGGATATGACCATCCTTTCAATATTAGGAGTTAGATCATTTCCAATTTTTGATATTATGAATAACATTGCAATGAACAACTTTATGTTTATAGCATTATCTCGGTTTAAAAAAATCCTTTTTTTTTTAAAGATTTTATTTATTTATTTGACAGAGAGAGAGAGCACAAGCAGGGGGAGCGGCACAGGCAGAGGGAGAAGCAGGCTTCCCGCTGAGCAGGGAGCCCGACGCCAGGCTCAATCCTAGGACCCCGGGATCATGACCCAAGCCAAAGGCATACGTCAACTGACTGAGCCACCCAGGTGCCCCTAAAAAAAGTCTTTTACTCCAAGTGAGGAGTTAATAGTCCAGATCATGAGAAATGTATGTGTAAACAAGTTGTATCAACACACTACGGGAAGTAGAGTGTTCAAGATTTCCACACTGTAAGGTGGTGGAAGAAAACAAAGTGTGACTAACTTTGCAGAGAGACAGATCAAAGACAACTCCCCAGAGAAAGTAACTGAGACGTGTTCTCATTTTCCAGATGGATTAGGGCAGAAGGAACATATGTGCAGCGGCCAGGAAGTATCAACAGTACTGTCCCATTCATGGAATTTTATGTACCTTCATTTTAAGGCCGGACAGTCACGTACAACAAGGGGAGAATTGAAAAATGAGGCTTGAGGAAAATAGGACGCCAAATCATGGGAAGCATCCTGATCAGATCAGCATTTTAGAGAAATCACTCTGGAAGATAGACTAGAAAAGCCAGGTCTGCAGGAGAGGAAAAGACTAGTGCCACAAGAGTGTAGGCAATGCTTTAAAAGTCTAACATTTGTTACGTAATAGTCACTTTGTCATCCTTAATTATCAGACATAAAACACTGTGTTTCCACAGGCACCATGGATCAGCAAGAGATAGCTTGTGTCTACTCACTGAGCTAATGTCATTCCATCCATAAACCAAGAACAATCAATCAGCCAGTGTAGACTTGTCCTCAGTCAAGTTTCAAACTTCATTAAGCTTTTTTTTTTCTTTGGAAGATATTTATTTATTTATTTATTTATTTATTTATTTATTTATTTATAGCATGGGTGTGGGGGGGGGAAGGGCAGAGGGAGAGGGGGAGAGAGAGAAGCTCAAACAGACTCCACACTGAACACGTGGAGCCTATGTGGGGCTCCATCTCACAACCCTGAGATCATGACCTGAGCTGAGATCAAGAGTTGGATGCTTAACCAACTGAGTCACCCAGGCATCCCTTCATTTAGTTTTGAAGTACTAAGAGTCACTGTGGCCATTTTTGCATTCTGAGTCCCCACCCAGCCCCAATGCCCACCTCAGGGAATCCTAAGATCCGCTCCACTGATCAAGGTCCTCAACATACAAATTGATTATTTTTTGTAAAATGACCCATTGCCAAAAACCCATCTGGACTTTTATCTTTGATAGAATCCCTATGAAGAAGTGTAACAAAACTCCTAAAAAATGGTCTTAAATTCATTCAAAAGCATACAAAAATAAACTCACCACTGCCCCTCTCAGGGACTGGTAGGGAGGAGGAGGGCGCTGCCCCACGGTATTATGGTTCATCCTCGAGGTCAAAGTGTTAACCATGTCTGGTAGAGTTTTACCCACACCAAAGAGAATATCTTAGAAAATGCAAATGTCATGAGCTTTGTCATACCTTAAAGAATCATATGCAAAGGGCCACCTGGAGCCTTTATCACTGAGCACAGGTCTGTGCAGCCTGATGGGAAATTATCCCTAAGCGTCCATGTCAGTGAAAGATACTGTCCACAGACACCCAACTTACTCTTGAAATAGATTAAAAAAAGAGACCCATTCCACTTTTTAAGTCTCTGTTAATGGAAGAGACAGGAAGAACTATATAGGGGGGTGTTTATGATCCCATTCTTTTCCTCAATGCAAGCAAATATTTTGAATATCATTTAACAAACCACCCAACTGAGCATCTACAAAGTCTAAGAAAGTAGTTCATTTCTCTCTTCCAACCTAAAATATCAAAAAAGAGAATAGGGAAAACTTTCTTCAGACTGTCTCCTTCATGGGTTCATCTTCCTGTGCCCCCTGGTTAAACACTCAGGATACCCTGGGTTTGTCTCTTCTTGGCCCACTGCTCCTCTCCCTGAGCTCTCCATGGGCCATCTTAACCTCTCTTGGACTTCAGCCTCTACATCTACTGATGACCCTGTCCTACTGACATCTTCTGGAGTTTCTCCCTCTTAGGTGAGGTGCTTGCTGGATAGACGCCTCCACCGGGATGTTCCCAGAAGCATCTGGAGCTGCACAAGCCCAGAATGGAAGTTGCTTCCCTTGCCCCTTCCCAGCCTGTACCTTGTCTGCAATCCTTTATCATGGTTGCTGCCCACAAAACCCATCCAGTTATCCAACCGAAGCTATAACCTGGACAAATCAATGACCCCTCATACTTCCTCACACCTGCAGGCAGTCAGTTACCAAATCCTACCAATTTTACTTCCTCAACATTCTTCAAATCTCTGACTTCCTCTCCATTCCCTGCTGCCCCTAACATCATCTCCTTCCTAGGTTATGGCAGCAGCCTCCTAGCTCATCTTCTGCGTCCAGAAATGTCCCAGGGGAGGGTCCTGGCAGTGCGTTCACATGGTCACAGGTGTTTGTAAAATGTGCAGAAGTAATATAATTTAACCACAATAAGCTAAGACCCTTGTCTCCTTCTGCTCCAGCTTCCCTGTGTCACATAACCCTTACATATCAGGAGACTTTGGAGTTGCTACAGGCATTTTTGGAATTCAACCAAAGGAGAGCTGAGGTGGAGATTTATTTAATTTGGGTGTAGAATATATCTACACAGTTCATAGTCACTTCACAGTCAATGTGCTGACTCACTTGCATATCACTTGATAGTGCCCTGAGGCACCCAGCCTCAGAAGTATGGGGGTTCTAGAGGAGACACAGGGTTTTAAATGTATGGGGCCAGAACCTGTCTGGAGAAACTTCTTCCAAATACTGCAGCTCATGCAGGAAGGAACTGGAGAGAGATTGCCCCAATTTTGTTAACAATTCTAACCATTTATATAACATTATTAGTAATAAAACATGAAATTTTCTGTTTTCTAAATTTTTAATACATACTAAAAGACAAGGTTCAATCAGCCACGCTGAAGAGAAAGATTTCCGTTCTCTCCGGAGAAAAAGATTACAAACTGAGACAAAAAAAAAAAAAAAGCATGCAGCCAAAAGAATACTGTAAGGAAAGAAGGACAGCAGATATATTTTAAACAGTTAATAAATCCAAAATATGCTTTTAAGTTTTGTGATGTTTGTGATTATTTTAATCTTTAAAATTTTTAAATTTGTAATGATTTTTTTTTACTCATTTAAATACACATTTGGGGTGCCTGGCTGGCTCAGTTGGGGGAGTATGAGACTCTTGATCTTGGGGTTGTGAGTTTGAGGCCCACGTTGGGTATAGAGATTACTAAAAACAATAAATATACATTCATTCTTGTTGCTTTATCCAATACCCTTTCTGAAATGCGTATCTGAATACATCACTTTCTTCACGTTCCTCAGCAGGGCGTATGCAATAGTAATAATGTTCTTGGTGATAATGTCACCTGTCTATTAAGGACAGTAATATAGCAGTGACGGTTTACAGTTGAAAGAGATCGGAGAGCAAAAGGGACCTGGAGATAGTTAAAGGTCTCTGGTAATCTAAGAGATGAATAAAGCTAAATCCCTACCTCACTCCCAACAGCAAAAACAGCAATTCCATGTGCATCAATATAAAATATGAAATCACAAAAATTTTAAGCACTCCACAGGAATTTATTTACACTACTAGACTAGGGAAGCAGCCATGAAGGAGAGAAGTGGTAGATTTGACTACATAAAAATTCAGGATTGTTTTTTACAGAAAAAAAACAATGAAGAAACCCCCCCCCAAACTGTTAAAAATGCCACAATAATAGAACTCTTGCAAATTACAGAGAAGACAAATAGGCAAACAGAGAAATTATGAAAGAACCGGCAAAAGTAGAAAAAGAAATGCATATGGACAATTTATGCATGAGAGGGTGTACAACTCTAGCACTCATCACTAAAGAAATGCAGTGTTTTCTTTTAAAACAATCCTTTATAACTATCAAATGGCAAGGTCAAAAAGTCTGATAATTCACAGTATTGGTACTGTGGGGAAGTACAATTTCACTGAAGAACCATTTGGTAATATCTATCAGAATGTCAGAGGCAAGCAACACTGACCCACTAATGCCATTTCAAGAAAGTTTTCTACAGCTATCTTTGACCTCGTCCAATGCCATCTCACCTAAATGGTTGCAAAAGCCTTGGAATTGGTTTTCCTGTTCTATCCTTGTCTTGCCTCCCAGTGTCTAGTTTCCACATAGCAGCATGAGCAATCTTTTAGCTGCTCTGTTCAACTCTACAATGGATCTCCATTGCACTGAGAGTCAAAGCCCTTTCTTACAATGGCCCCCAATAAGGCCCTATGGGATGAGTTTCCCATTATCTCTCTGATCTCACCTCCTACCACTCTCCCCTTGGCTCACTAGGCTCCAGCCGCACTGGCCTCCTTGCTAGTTCTTAAATGCCATGCGCATGCCTACCCTTTCCCTGGCGACATTCTATTTGAACGCTCTCGCCCTGGATGTCCCCCATGGCTGTCCTACCACCTTAAAGTCTTCACTCCAGCTTCACCTTCTCAAGGAGGCCTTATACATACCGAGTGGCTAAAACCATACCTGGCATGTAGAGGGAACTTGCTAAATACTTGGAATTACTTGTGAATAAATGAACAATGTGGGTCAGGTCAAATAGTGTCTGAAACAATTATAATAATGCCTTCTAAGGTTTTTTTAAAGAAAGAATTGAAATACATGAACTCTAAACCCAAGAGAACTAAACTACATGACATTAATAACATATAAGTCAAGAGGGATATAATTGGGGTTAATGTGAGATAAGGTTTTGATTGGATGGTTGTATTGATTACTTTTTAAATTATTATAAGCTAAAACTGAACGTTAAATTTTTTTGAGAGCCGGACATAAAGGTAGGCATACTGTATGAACCCATTTATATAAAGTCAAAAAAACAGGCAAAACTAACCTATGGTGACAGAGGTCAGGATAGTGCTTGGCTCTGGGGATTGAAGGTTCATGACTAGAGAGGAGCATGAGCATGGCTTCTGGGGTGCTATGTGTTGATTAGAGGGGTGTGTTCACTTTGTATAAGTTCACTGAATGGGATGCTTATGAGTTGTGCTTTGGGGGGGATACATATTTTACACTTCAGTAGGTAACCACTAAAAGAACAGAAATATACTGAATAACTTCCAAACTGTGGGGGGGAGGATGATGGGTGGGGGGCGGCTAAGGGGGAGGATAAAAATAAGAAAAAAAAAAATGACTCAGAAAGTAATCAAGGGAAGACAAAATGGAAAACGTGGATAAAAAGATTATTATAAAATGAGACAGTTGGAAATAATCAATGTGTATCAAGAATCATAATGAATGAGAATGAATAAATGCACCAGTTAGAAAACAGAACTGCTCAAACTAGATTTTTCAAAAATCCAATTATATCTTGTTAATGAGGGACACGTTAAAAAAATAAAGATTGAAATTCAGGATGCTTGGGTGGCTCAGTTGGTTAAGCGTCTGCCTTCAGCTCAGGTCATGATCCCAGGGTCCTGGGATGGAGCCCCACATCGGGCTCCCTGCTCAGCGGGGAGTCTGCTTCTCCCTCTGCCCCTCCACCTGCTTGTGCCCTCTCTTTCTCTCTCAAATAAATAAATAAAATCTTAAAAAAAAAACCTGACACAAGTATAAAGAGAAATATGTAAACACAATTCTTTCAATAAGTAATCGAATAAATGGACAGAAAGCCAGGAAGGATAGCAAAGATATCAACAGCACCTTGAATAAGCGCAATCTAAGGAACGGGTATATAGATTATGTCCAACAATTATAAAACATACAGTCTTTCCAAGAAGGCATGGAACATTCATTCATTTTGATACACGCCAGACTCTAGGACTGGGTTTGACACATTTCAAGGGATTGGTATCATACAGACATATTCTCTACCCAGAATGCAAATATGTTAGAAACCAGCAAACTAGAAAAAATACTTATGTTTAATAATTGCTACTTTTGAACTACTTCTGAACATTTCTAGGGCCAAAGGAAATCCAAATACGCATTTTTAGAAGTCCAATGCACTATCCATCACGCACAGAGCCCAAATAGGCATTTTTAGAAGCAAATGATATAAATATATTACATATCAACACTTAGGAGCTGGAGCTATAGAGGTACTTGAAAGAAAGGCTAGGTTACAAAGTTTCAGATAAAGGAAGGAAACACCAAAGATAGGAACAGAGAGGTTTGAAACAGAACAAACACAAAAGAGAGAACTTGGGAGTCATCACTTTAAATTGTGCAGAGATGAAACCCATAGTAAAAATTAGCGTGCACAACATTTCAACCACAAATCTGAAAATCCAGATGCAATGGACAAGTTCTATGAGTAGTTAAGTATTGATCATATTTTTCAATATGCTTAAAATATTTCATCATGTAAGTTTTAACACTTAGTCTTAAATTGAGACTAAGGCATACTTAAAACAAAGGTCCATACCATTTATAGGCAGAAAACCTTTGTTTTTTAACTTCAAAACTCAGGTGACTGAGCAGAAAAATTGTGGGTTTTTTTTTTTACCCACAGCAGAGACAGGAAACCCCACCTGGGTGCTTTAGATGCCTCAAAAGGTCACAGCGTAGTGGGACTGAGCAGTTGAGCTTGCAGGCCAAAAGGAAATAGCAATGACTTGCCCCAAATTAAAAAATGAAGTATTGCTGACAGCTCACCTTTGTACCGTGTTTCACAAAAGCCCACAGATTTGCTCTCATCCACGCTTCAGCTCTGTGTGTGGACACACATTTTCTTACCTTCAGTATAAATAACTGTCATGGCTACCGCTCGGGCACAACAGATGGGCCAGGCCTATCCTGGATGCCTGACCGGTGTTTTTAATCCTGATAACGCAACTAGGCGCTATCGCTCCGGTTTTACAGGGAACAGACTAGTGGAGGAACTTGCTCACAGGCTCACTCTGAATCAGGTGGGGGCCGAGACTCAAGGCCAAATCCCTCTGAGGCCTCCCTTCGTACGTCGTTTGAAACAGCAGGGAATCACTGATAGAGCACAACGTGTCCAAAGCAGGCTCGGTCCCAGACCAGCCCACTGCAGCCCGCACCAAGCACCCACCTTCCGAATAACGTCTCGCAGAGCAAAATACTTCTCAGTGAGATCCCCTGCCTCGCTCAGTGGGGCGTCATAGTCGTAGCTGGTGGGCTGCGCTTGGTAGGGCATGTTGGCCCCTAGAAGACAAAAATACACCACTAGTTACTACCGAAGGCCTTCCCCCGGGACAAGGTTTTTGGGATTTGTGGGCTCGGGTTGTGGAGGGAGAAAATAAAGGACACATTAAGAACCAATTGTCAAGTGATACAGAGGTGGCCCTGAGGAGTCCAGGTTTAGAGAAATGAGTTTCTTCCTGCAGGTGGCCCTCACCAAGCACCTGAGAGTCTACAAGGCTCTGTCCCCACCCATTCTCTCAGCAGAAGCTCCTAGCAGGGACCCTAGCAGATATCACCATCACTGAACCAGGAGGGAAGCTGAAGCTCCCTCCAAAACCAGCTCAATGTCTCACAACCAGGAGTAAAGGGCTTCTGGCATGACCCACACCTCTGACTGATAATCCCAAAGTCTGTGATCTTTTCCATGCCCTCGGACCAAGGACCAGCCAAACACAACCGAGGGGTTATCAGAACACACAAAGCAGGAGATGACTGTGACACACGTCAGTCCCCAGATTCAAGTGGAACCCTAAGGTCTTTGTTAACGTCTGCAGAGCAAGGGTGCTGTGGTGTCCTCTCGTATCCCCTTCAGGAACAAGTCATGCCCCCACACCCCCAGCTGCCGGGAGGGTTAGCTGCTGCTGGCTCTCAGAGGAGTCCCTCTGCTCACGGGCCTCTGCTGGGTGACCTTGCCTAGGTTATGGCCCTCCAGGGAGGGCCCATATCCAATGACTGATCAAGGGGGGCTCAAAACCCCAGACCCTTGGCGGTCCCAGCTGCAGGGTTCCCTCTAGAATCAGCTGAGCCACCTTCAGAGAGGCCTCATTGGTCAACTTCTTCCTCTGCCCAGGGCTGCCACCCACACTCTCTAAAGGTGCTGCTCCTGGGAACGTGCCCCAATAAACCTCCTGCTGGGCAATCTCAGTCTTTTTCCCAGGGAATGAAACCCACAACAGAGACCAATAAATAATGCCAAAAAAGACTAGAAAAGTAGATGACTTTGCAATTATCATTCAAGCGGCACAACCTAGAGCAGAGGCCCCTCCCCTTGTCACAGATGAGGTTCACAGGTAGGAGATCGGATGCAACAGTGGGCTGTGATTCTATGCTGCTACTTAGAAACCTCACCCATGCAACATGGAGAGCTTGTCCAGATTCCTAAGCCCCACCCCACCTGAGATTCTGAGTTGGCAAGTCTGAGGTGGGACCTGAGACTCTGCATTCCTAACAGACTCCCAGGTGATGCTGATGCTGCCCTCTGTGGACCAGCCAGGCTCTGGGCCAGCCCTTTCTCTTCTACTCCAGAGCGCGTTTTACAACGCAAGGGTATGAGAATAAAGTTGCTTTCAGATCATCTTATAGCCATACTAATTTTTAAGTAAATGAGGCATAAAATCTGATAGTTCACCTGTAATTTAGTAACAAGTTCCCTCGACTGATCCCCCAGCCCACAAATGATGGAGCCACCTTGGGTGATCCTACTGGTGGTGAAGCTGACAGATGAGCTAGGCTGAGGATCAATTCCACCCGCCCCCCGACCCCAGTATTCTGTTTCATTTGTGCTTTGTACAAAATCTACATTTCCAAAGGACCTGGACCACTTAGGCAATTGAACTGACCAACTGACCCAGTCCTATTACCTTTACCGTCTTTTGTATTAATCAGAGGGAGCGGCCTGCCAACAGGTCCACCTGCCTGTGGGGATACATACATTAAAGCACATCCTTTGCTGTGAGATGCAAAGGAAAATAAAACCACATCCCTTGTTGCAAGGAGCTCACCTCTTTCGTGGCCCCTCCTCTAGCTCTAATGTGGCAGTCACCTTGCCCCCACACCCCGGGCCCCCCCTTCCTATTTATATGCATGGCATCACACTAGCTGCCTGCCCCTTGGAGGTAGATGCGGCCTCACTTACCCGAGCTGAGCTCAATCAGTGGTTACCAAGTTGAATTGAACGATGTAACTCCCAGAAACAAAATTACAGGCTGAGGGAAGCCAGGCAGGAAAGCTGGCCAGTGAGTTAAAGGATGGACTGAAACACGAAGTCTTTGTTCTAGTTCCACCAGCAGAATCTTTCTCTGGAAAATTCTCTGATCCTCAGACCATCACAGGGTAGTATCATAGAGAAACAGTCCTAACTTAAGTGTCTTCTGTCCACAGTAGGGAGTACGAGGTGGGAAGGCAAGGGAAATGGCAAGGCTTACCATTCCTCAACTCTGTGCGTCTTGTGAGAAGCCTCGGATGGCCTGGATCCCGCAGGGGGCCTCACAGATGGGGATGCACACAGGCAGAGTGTGGTGCACACGCCTGCATGAGCAGGTGCATCTACTGTGGCCAGGATGAGCAGGAAGCCCCCCACCAGGGGTTTTGCTCTCATTGCTCTCCTCTGGGATCTGACCTGAAGAGCAGCAGCTAAGAAGCACGGACTGGCCCTCCTCCATGTCCCCAAAGAGACCAAGCGCTAGAGCAGGCGAGAGAGGCCCACAGACACAGGTAGGGCTGGTGCGGGGGTTTCAGGATGCAAGAGGTGATCCAAGGGCAGTGACCAGCTTTCCAAGGCCCAAGTTCCAGGCCAGCCCTATCCCCTGCCAGCTGAAGGGGAAACACGTGGACTTTTTTTGGTACCCTGCTTTTCTTATCCGTAAAATGGGTCCATAATCTCTGGCACAGATGAGACTGCTATGAGGACTATATGGGAAAACAGAGGCAGAAAAGAGACTTTTATGGGGGCTTATGGCAGGGTCAGGAGCAAGGCAACAGACTTTTTCTAGAAGGACAACTTCCATTTTCTGAGTGGTTGTTTTTATCTATCTAAATTTTTTAAAAAGACGAATGTATCATTTCAAGGAAAATAATACAAGATAAAAAAAATTCTACCACGTACTGTAAAGTTTCCCAAAAGTATCAGTCTTTATTCCTGGACTGGATGCTTGGCTCAAGTCCCTGAATGGAAGGTAGGTGGAGTCCTTATCTACTGAATGAAAAAGGTATCACTTTCTAATGAGAAGACTACACACAGACATGATCCAAGACTTTGACGAGCAAGCCTGGCATACTATGATCTTTTAGGAAGCGACGTTTGAGTTTTGCAGTATCTCCATTTCTTGGCTCTGATAATAGTAATAATATCAGTAACATTTGTAAGCAAAGTCTTCTCCTAGCCCATCCCATCCTGCACAAAAGAGAGCCGTTCATAGGAGCTGGTAGCACCCAGTTACAGATCCTAGGAGACTCAGGCCCAAATGAAGCTTCCAAAACTCAGCATTGAGGAGCATCCTCAATGATTCAGAGAGAAAAATGCAGATGTGGAGAGGGGTGAGCAATGAGCCTGAGGAAAAAAAAACAACCTAATATAGCATGATTTGTCCACAAAAATCAAGGGCAATGAAGAGAATTTTGTCATAATTTTTCCTATTTAAAGAAATAAAAAGAGACCACATAGGAATTGAAAATGGTATGGTACAGTCATTTTGGAAAACACCATAGCAGTTCCTCAAACTCTAAACATAGAATTAGTTATACCACGTGACCCAGCAATTGCACTCATAGGTATACACCCAAAAGAACTCAAACGAGGATTCAAATGAATACTTACATGTTAGTGTTCATAGCAATATTATTTATAATGGCCAAAAAGTGGAAACAACTCAAAGACCCATCAACTGACAAATGGATAAACAAAATGCTTTATATCCATAAATAGAATATTATTTGTCAGTAGAAAAATAAAGTACTGACCCACACTACAACACGGATGGACCTGGAAAAGATTATGCTAAATGAAAGAAGCCAGACACAAAAGACCACATATTGTATGATTCCATTTATAAGAAATGTCCAGAATAGGCAAATCCATAAAGACAGAGAGTATAGACTAGTGGCTGCTACGAGCTGGGAGGAGGAAGAGAGGGAAGTTTCTCAGGTAAGGGGTTTCTTTTTAGGGTAGTGAAAACGTTCTAGAATTGGATGGTGATAATGGCTGCAGAGCTTTGTGATATGCTAAATACCACTAAATGGTACACTTTAAAACTGTGATTTTTATAGTATGTGAACTATATCTCAACAAAACAAAACGTTAAAAAAGAAGAAAAAGATCATAGCAGAATACATGAGCAAGTAAGCTATCACCAGAGACTATGGGACCTGCCCAGCTACTTGGTTTGAAATAAGGCTTCTGGGGCGCCTGGCTGGCTCAGTCGGAAGAGCATGTGACTCTTGGTCTCGGGGTTGTGAGTTTGAGCCCCACACTAGGTGTAGATATTACTTAGAAAAATTATAAGTAAACTTTAAAAAAATTAAAAAACAATAAGGCTTCTGAGTGCACAAGTTATGTTCCTTAAAAATTTTTTTTAATGATTTTAAAAATTATATAGGCAGTTTTTATATCAGGAAATTTAGGAATAAACAAAAATAGAAAATAAAAATTGTCTGTAGGTACTTCCCACCCCCAAATCAAGCACCAGAAACTTTCTAGCATAAGCTTCCACACCTGTAGGATTGTTCTTACCATTCCAATAGGCAAAATTGGTTCCACCTATAAACATGTACCTACAAGGAAACAAGAGAAGAGACATACTTCACTGTGAGCCCACAGCTGTGGAGGGTGCCCTGCCCTTCAGAAATTAACACTCACAAGTTCACATTCGCCCCACGGGCAAGTATATCGTGGAGGGAGGAAGCCACCACTTCAGTCCTCACTGTTGAGTGAGGTTGGCCCCAATGGTCTAACCAGCCAGTATAGAATTCAGAATTCACCTAGGAAGAGAAAAGGACATGGAGCCTAGCACGGACTTAGGACCTTCAAAGGCTGGCATCTCCCTGTACCCATCGCCCTCTCTACTCCACCGAAGGATGGGTGGAGAGCCGTGTGTTACATGCAGTGCTTGACCCAGGGCTGGGGAGCCCCTGGGGGGTTCCAGTGACAGCACTGCCCAAATTCAGTGTTTGGGCACCGACGACACAGATATTCCTGAAAAGTTGTCCCTGCAACAAAATTTTGTTAGCCAACCCTGAGTTTAAACAGGCAGGAAAGTTTGTTGGGCAAAAGAATTAGACGGCAAAATATTCTAATAAAATGATCCGGTCTAAGTTCACCCTTTGTGTCAGTCCAGATTTTTAGGTCCCAGGTTGACTTCAAGTGAGGTGGACTCGTCCAAGTGGTTCTGCAAAGCAGGCCCTAAGCACTTCATGTTTCTCCTGAACATTACCCTGCCACGCCCTTCATCTTGAGAAGGAAAAAGAAGTCTGGACGTGTTCTGGGGCCTTCTTGTCTCAGGGTCTGGGAACCCCCTCCCCGGCCACCGCCCTCCCCGGGTCTGTGAATGCAGGTTCTCCACAGCTCACCAAGCAGCAAAGGCTCTGTGCACCTGCCGCAGGGCAGGCACAGGACATCAGCCCTTAAACTGTGCCGAGAAACAACAGGAACAAGTATAGAGCAGGGAAGAGCCGAGCGTGAAGAGCTGAAGGACCGTTCAGACCTGCCGGGGTCTTGCCATCAGCTCCCCCGCGGCCTGCCCTGCGCACCACAGGGCCCTGCAACTCGACGTGTGCTCGCCAGGCTGCCTGTCACAAACGCAGAACCTCGGGGCCCACCCTGGGCCCAGCAGATCAAAGCTGGCATCTTCACCAAGATTCCCACGTGATTCAGGAGCACAGGGAAGATGGAGAAGATCTGTCACAAAGAGATCTCGGGAAACACCACACTGATCTCGGATCCTGGCACTGCCACTCACCGGCTTTGCGACCCTGGTAAGTGACCTGTTCTCTGAGCCTCGTGAAAAGGGAGACCATGATATTACCTATGAGCAAGGCCAAACGGGATGAAGCATGCAAGAGCCCAGCCTGATCCATGGCAGACTCTCACATTTGTCCCCATCTTGTTCCACTCAAGAGCAGGGCCGCGGTTTCCAGTAAGAGCACAGCTGCTGTCACTCATGTGTCCAGAGGGCCACGTGCCCACAGTCCCATCAGCTGCTGACCCCTCAGCCAGAGAAAACAAGGCCCTGTTCCCTTAGTGCAAGCAAACCCACACCTCATCCCCAATTCTTACCAACGGCCCTCTGGGCTCACTCTTTCTCTGGATTCCGAAAGCAGCGGTGATGTTGGCACCTGAAAATTACAAGAGGGAGAATCATGGGAATGATAAGAAGTTAAATAAAAGGAGTCCTTCACAGACCTTCAGCCTGAGGCCCCATGCTTCGCCACAGGCCCGTGGGCCTGGAACACCACCCGACCAGCTGCAGGCTGGCCTTGGACCATCCACCCAATGGACGTGTGGGGACCATGCAACACTGCTTCCTCTCCGAGTGGTCCCTTTGGCCTCTCCTGACTGCACTGCCTCAGGAGATCACATCGCAGGCTGGTCTTCTCTGAGTTTCCCCAAGGCCTGGACACGTGTTTTGTGCTCGTCTCTCTTCACATGGACATCTGACCTAGAGGCTCCCTACAGGAGGGGCTTGCTTTGAAGGCACTTCCTTGCAGCCTCCACAGCACCACACACATAGTCGTGCTACAGACATCCGCCCAGTACTTAACGAATCAAAGGGATGGATGTGGTCTTTCTGCCTGAATCATGGCATATACGCTGATTTTGAATTTGTACATCATTGGCCATCCCAGGCTACGTGGTATGTGCCCTCAAGTTTTCCTCCTAAAATACCCCATTAAGATGCCTGCATGAGAGCTTGCTCCTGGTGTCTTCTTTCTCCCTCCTCCTCTAAAGGGAACGAAGCTCTCCCCGACAGAGGCAGTGATCTGCCCTCCTTCTGTGACCGAGCAACAATGAAGAGTGTCTCTCTAGTCAGAGCAGGGGACCCCCTGGCCCCAAACTTCACGACCCACTTCCCACAGCACCCACAGTGGAAGTGACAGTGGCCAAGACCTCCAAATAACCCCTTGCTCTCTGTAAGGCCAGGTTTCAGGAGAGAACGTGCTCAGCCAGAGTGCAATCTCATTTACTTTACGGCTGTTAATGTCTCACTATTAAGCGTCGGGTGGCATTCAGATCTCTCAGTTCTGTTCTCATGAGCTTCCTCCCATGACCTGACCCTGGGCGCTGCCCCCCGTCCCACACACATGAACGAGCCTGCCCCGAGCCCCACCTGCCCCGCGACCACGGGCCTTCCAGTGGGCTGTCCTTCAACCCAGAGCCACAGCCGGTGCGCTATCCCCCCCTCCCCCCCGCACACGTAATGCTTAGGACAGACTCGGGATAACCTTCCCGTTGTTGCTCCCAACAGAAAGCTATGCGCTTCTTCATCACTGTGATGGGAAGTGTGCCAAGGCAGGAGGAAACCAGCGGGCCACTTCCCGGGCCGCTCTTTGTAGATGGGTTATTTCAGCACCAGATGCTCGCAGCCACGCACCATGTGTCTAGAAACACTCCATTCACCTAAAGCCAGTCCTTTTCTTTTATGCTAACGTAGAGACATGTCTTGCAAAGTGCAACTTCAGTCTTCCGTACATGCGTCTCGAGAGAAAGCCAGCACTGGGTGTGTGTTGTGGGCGGGCTGTCTTACCCCTCAGCCAGGAAGGCAATGGGGTCTTTATGCTACTTGAAGAGCAGCTATTTTTTGGGGGGGGAACGGGACGGGAGTTAACATTTATTTTGAAGTAATTTCAAACTTAGAGAAGAGTTGTGAGAATAGAACAAAGAACTCACACTCCCAAAGAACCAAGATTCCCCAATTGTTAATATTTTGCCACATTTGCTTTATCAGTTTCTCTCTCTCTCAATACACTTATTTTTTTTGAACCATTTATGAGTAAGTTGCAGACATGAATTCCCTTTACCCAAATATTTCAGTGTACGTTCTCTAAGAGCAAGGGCATCCTTCAAATAAACACAATACAATTATAAAAAACCAGGAAATTAACATGGATACAATCCTGTTATGTAATCCACAGAATTGATTCAAAAAATTCGATTGTCCCAATAATGTCCCTCATAGCACAGAAAGATAGAAAGCAAGCAGGCAAGTCCAATCTGGGACCCTTTTCAGGTGCACACGCTGCCTGTCGGCGTCATGCCCTTCATGAAAGCTGCTCTCTTAACGTTTACGGCAGCCAGGAGCCTCCGGGCCACACTGCCTGCCCCCAGAACCTGCCTGTGTGGAGCCTCTGCAGCTTACACAGCATGAACCAGTCAGGGAACACAATTTGTGCGGCATCCGCTAACCACCTGCAGGCCGTCCCGGTTCATAGTGTTGAGTTCCACAGAAAGAGAACGGAAGCGCAGGGAAGTTCCCTGCACTCCAGGGCGGACAGGCCCACCGCACCCCGCCAGTGGCTGACCCTCCAGGTGCGTTCACCAGCGCTAAAGACGGAGCCCTTGCCCAAAAGGGCCAATCAGCTTAAATAAAATCTGCGCACCGGAGGGGTGCTTTATTCATTATTCCATTTCACCTGCTCCTCCGTAAAGGAAAATTTGAGAGATCTCATTCAATGTTCCCACTTAACACACAGCTGCCCTGAGCGACTGACGGAGTTCACTGCCCAAGCCCTCATGGCCTTAGCTGGGTTTTACTGTGATTACAAACACCAACCTGGTCCGAAGTCCACTGTGGCATAGAGCCCCTGCAGCGCCCCGCACTGCAGGAATGTCTCATGTGCCCCGTCAGTGGTGAACAGGAGCACGTCAGTGCCCAGGTGGTAGTGGAAGAGCTTCTGCAGGAACCGCAGGTAGTCATAATCACAGGTGAAGTAGCTGCCATATTCATTTTCAACCTACAAATTACAAAAGAGGCGGGGGAAATCAGGAGAGCCTGATACCCTCATTCTAAGGCAAGCTTTTTTTTTTTTTTAAAGATTTTATTTATTTATTTGAGAGAGAGAGAATGAAAGACAGAGAGCATG